GTACATAATAGAACTATGGCAAGACTTGAGGTAAGTAATGATATCAGTAATAATTTGTAACTGCTGCTTTGTGACCAACTGGATATATTTTTAAATTTTTAACAGAGGTAATAAATGTCTCTGCAGGGTTGCAATAATGGAACTTTACCCTGAAATATTTAAGTAAATTCAAATTCAATCAACAAAACAGATGAAAAATACACTTTTATTGTCATTTTCTCTTCTGAGAAATAAAGAAAACTTTAATGCATAAGGGTTAAATTAGAAAAAAACAAACAAAAAAACGACAAATTCAGCCCCTCTGGATCTGCCACTGGCCCAAATTAGTTGTAATTATTTTGGTAGCAGTACTTAAAAAAAAAAAACACAATTATTTAATTATTTGAAGCATTAATAGATGCCCACAGATTTATCCTACAGGTGAAATTCAGATCCTGCTCAAGTTTAACTGTAACATTAATTTGCACACAGGGAAATTAATGAGGCTCAGATTAAGAGATTTTAGCTCTACTTTTACAGCAGCTATATCATCTTTACTATAAGTACTGATTACTTTAAAGCTCCAGGGTCTGGCCTCTGTCATATTAGCAGAAATGCACATAAACACTAGTATAGGCATTCATTATAAATAAATAAAACAAAGCTAATGGTAGCATTAAAAATATGCTGCTCAAATCTTTAGTTTTAGGTTTGGCTCAAAGGAGGCGAAGATTACAGAGAGAGAAACAGAAATAGACCTGACTGGAGTTTCAGGTCATCATTTATTATCTATCAAATCCAAGCATGTATATTAACTGACAGTGTTAGTCAAAATGCATCAGATGCATTCACCATTATACTGGGTTTATAGAACAATCTAGGGAATATCATGATGGTTATCACATTTTATTTTTATAATTTTCCAGATTTCCTAAAAAAGTTTCACTAAATAACATAATTACATTCCTGCATCTTATTCCACTTAAAAGTTATTTGTAAATAAATAAAAAGGTTTTACCTGTAACTACCAACACCGACACCTTTGGCAAACAAGGAAAAAAGAAACTGTCAATACTTAAACTAACTTTTTAATGTTTTTTTTTATCATTTTAATAAAGTGATGCAACATATTTATTGAATTAACTTAATGTTAGTAGTAATAAATGACATGTAGAAAAAAAAAGTTTGAAAATACAAAGAACAAATGAACATTTTCCATGTTGAATAATCTTTCCCTCTTTAACCTTGTAGCTTCAGGCGTCCAAACTGAATAAAAAGTCCTGATTTCTTTCCATGAATTCACCAAACTAATCCGTCCATCTTGTTCTCTTTGAGAATGAAGGGAAAAATAGAAAGGTGTCTCATAGCTGATAGCTAAGCTAACTGCTATTGTTTATCTTTGCAGAGGAAAAAACATTCTACCTGTAGCTTTACACTTTTTTTCTTCTATTTGCATATTTTATTAAGTTTCAAACATTATTTTGCATCCGTAAAATTCTCTTTATTCACCTTTATTTTATACTTCTTGTATTGATTTTAACAACATGCTTACTCTTTTACTCAAACAATAACACACCCCAAACATAACATTAAGATCATATTGTATGCCGACTGATTTTATGACAAGTTCTCTTTCCATATTTGGAGCTGGATGTCATGTTTGACTAGCCAAGACATCCCAGATTACCCAAACTTTACCAAGCTTGTTCTTTTAAAAATAAATGATCTGATGAAGGGTCAAAGTAAAAATAAAAGTGACACAGATTGGAGACTTCTTAAAGATACATTTCACAAATATTCATATACAAATATAGATGGAAGTAATTATATTCATTTATAGGTACACTTTTAATTACAATTTTTTTCATCTTTTAAAATATATGTTAAATAATTTAATGGGATTTAATTATTTATTTGTGCATTTTATAATTTAAAGGTACATTTACTGTAATATTTGAATCAATATAAATACAATTTACCATCTAAAATGTGCATATATTTATATTTAATGGCACATTCACAGTTATGTATTACATAATACAGTGTTTGCATTCCACATACATCAAGGATGACATCATAAGGTTGTGAAAAGTTTTTGAGATAAAAAATTCTTCAGGATAGACAACAAAGATACACATTGTAGGATTTTAAAATAGACCGGTGATTTTTAAAATCTGTTTATAAATGATGAGCATGAAAACCAACACCAACCAATTTTACAAATTCATAAAAAAATATATATATATAAACACCAACCAATTTTACAAATTCATAAAAAAATATATATATATATTGTTTTTTTCTATTATTATCAGAATTTTTTATCTGTTTTGGAATGACTATGATCTGAATGAATGAGAATCTTCACCAGCATTATACAAATTATTATTATTATTTTGCTCAGAAAAATATATAATTTCTTTTTTCATGATATCTATCTTTGCAAGTGGAGCTAGAAAGAAGTGACATAGATACAACAATCAAAAACATGTTCAATGTTTTTACCTTCGCACCCACAAAAATGTACAATTATTGTAATTATAATACATATATTTTCTTTGAAAGGTTGATACTGACGTACAAATTTGAAAAGAATCTCTTTGATTTTATTCATAACAATATATCGATAAGGAACTAGGAAGATGAAGTTCCAGAGTTTATTGTCCATAGAGTCCATCTGTGTTTACATACAGTATAGTGGTAGAGACTGGCAGAAGCTGGTTCCTGATAAAAACATTGATACATCTCTTATCTGCAAGTGGAATGCCAGCTATATTATATATTGCTTTTTTTTAAAATTATAAATAAACACTTTATTTATTTACAAGGCCCTTCTTGGATTACTGCCATCTTACATTTCTTACACAGAAAAGCATGGCTTCTTCTGCCCTGAGTGCCAACAGCTTCTGCTCACTGTTCCTTTTGCCCGAACAGAACTAGGGAAGAAAGCCTTTAGCTACGCGGCTCCTTGTGCGTGGAATTATTTTACAAAGATCTTAAAATTATCTTAAAATCCTTTTAATTTGGAAGTGAAAGAATCTGAAGCAGCCTCAATTATCTATAATTGTTTTACTTGATATATGTTTTTTAATGTACCTGTCATTTAGTTTAATGTATCTCTGTTTATTATGTAACTTTACTGCCTCTTGGCCAGGACTCCCTTGAAAAAGAGGTCTTTAATCTCAATGGGATATTTTTCCTGGTTAAATAAAGGTTAAAAAAATACACATATACAAATATATATATAACTATTTATATAAATATACTACGGAAGAGGATTAGGGCCACTGGAAAAAAAAAAAAAAAGTAAACTGATTTTTAAATTTTATTTCAGTTTAACATG